GCCCGAAAAAGGGAAAAGGCAATCCCCAGGGTCTGTAAGAGAGTATTCCCTGGGACAACGTCATCATAATTTCAATAAACCGATTGTTGAAAACAAACCTCTCTATCCGAGATCCATTTTCTCACCCTCAACTGTCCACGCACTCACGCTACATACCTCTACACCGAACGAACCACTGAACCTCCCATTGACCCTGCGTTTCGGCAAGAAAGAGGTGGCTGTTAATGCTTTGATCGACTCTGGTGCAATGGAAAGCTTCATCGATATGGAATTCGCCATTAGCCAAGGAATACCCCTCACTGCCAGCCCTCAGCCATTAAGAGTATACACAGTTGATGGCCGCGCAATCCGGTCGGGTCTCGTGACAAAAGTATGCCAATTAGAAATGCAAACTGGAGATCATATCGAGAACAGTACACTGCACGCCACCTCGCTGGGCAACTACTCAGTCATTTTGGGAATGCCATGGCTCACACAACATAACCCCCGCATCGACTGGAAAACACGAAAGATCACCTTGGACTACCAATTATGTCAGGCCGCTTGCCATAGGAACTCATCAGCGTCCACCTTTCCTATCGCTACCAACAACGTACCACCACCTCCCAGCATCGACATCCGCCTCTGTAATGCTCGTACCCTGAGGAGATACATAAGAAAAGGGGCACAAGCATTCTGTATGACCCCCGAACAGATTGCAACCTTAGCAAGCATTTCTTCGCACCCCGGTGGTGGAAGTGAAGCCCCTGGGGTACCAGAGAAGTATCGTGATTTCTTCGACGTCTTTAGCGAAAACGAAGCCAGCTCGCTGCCAATACACCGCCCTGGCACAGACCATACCATCCCCCTCGCAGAAGGCACCCAACCCCCTTTCGGTCCTATCTACCCACTATCGCAAGATGAGTTGAAGGAACTATCCACATATCTTGAAACCAACCTAAAAAACGGATTCATTCGTCGCTCTTCCAGCCCTGCAGGCGCGCCAATCATCTTCGTCAAAAAAAAGGACGGCTCACTTCGTCTTTGTGTGGACTACCGTGGGCTAAACAAGATAACTGTCAAGAATAGATACCCACTCCCTTTGATAAACGAAATGATCGATCGCCTCGCCACGGCACGGATATTCACCAAACTCGATATCCGCAACGCATATCACCGCATCCGTATTGCAGAAGGTGAGGAATGGAAGACAGCATTCCGGACACGTTATGGCCACTTCGAGTACCAGGTCATGCCTTTTGGATTAACAAACGCCCCAGCATCCTGGCAATCCCTCATCAACGACGTACTTCGGGATTACCTTGACCAATTCGTCGTCGCATATCTGGATGATATCCTCATCTTCAGCGATAACGATAAGGATCATGAGAAACATGTCCATATGGTTCTCCAGAAACTTCGGGATGCTGAGTTATATATCAAGGCCGAAAAATGCGAATTCGACGTACGAGAAGTCGACTTCCTGGGTTTCCGCATCAATGACAGTGGCATCTCTATGGACCCTGCAAAAGTCGCCTGCATCCTCGATTGGCCTACCCCACAGTCAGCTCATGACATCCAAGTATTCCTGGGATTCGCCAATTTTTATCGTCGGTTCATCAAAGGCTACTCGGGTGTCACCATACCTCTGACAACCCTCCTCAAGAAAGGTGTACCATTTGATTGGGGTATAGATCAAGAATCTGCTTTTCGCACGCTCAAAACTGCGTTCACGACTGCCCCAATACTCCACTACTACCAACCCGACCGTAAAATCGTAGTGGAGACTGATGCATCGGATTCGGCCATTGCTGGAGTCCTCAACCAGGTTGGCGACGATAACAAGCTCCACCCAATTGCCTTCTTTAGCCGAAAGTTGTCGCCCGCCGAGGTAAACTACGATATATATGATAAGGAACTCCTAGCCATTGTCGAGAGCTTTACGACCTGGCGCCATTACCTTCAAGGCGTAAGGCATACCATTCTGGTGTATACGGATCACAAAAACTTGCAATACTTCATGACGTCACCCGCAAAGTCCCTTACCCGCCGTCATGCCCGATGGGCTATAGTTTTCAGTGAGTACGACTTCCAGATCACCTATCGTCCAGGTTCGGAAAATCCCAAGGCCGATGCCCTCTCTCGTCGTCGGGACATGGCCTTTGGGGAGGGGGAAAACGAGAAGCAACCAATCCGAGGATTATTCCGTGAAGAGCAAATCGTCCTAAGCGCCACATCCTCATCCCGGTTAGGCTTCGCTCTGCTTGAGAAGATCCAATCCTCCCTTCTCGAAGATACCTCGTTAAAACAGCTCATACAATTTGTCCGTTCTCCAACCAGCACTCCCCACTACCTCCGCAAGAAAATTCAACGATACACCTTCGAAGAGGAAACAAACCTGCTACTTTTTGACAACCGGATTTGTATCCCAGCTAACAACGAGTTGAAGATTGCAATCCTCCATGAACATCACGACACACCTGCCTCAGGTCATCCAGGTAGAGCTAGAACCTGCGAACTCATCGCCCGAACGTTCTACTGGCAAGGTATGCGTAAATTCATAAACCGCTACGTCCACAACTGCTCTATCTGCAGAAGGTCGAAGTCCTCCTCTCAAGCACCCCAAGGACTACTCAAGCCACTGCAAATACCCAAGCGCCCATGGGCTGCGATCTCCATGGACTTCATCACGGGTTTGCCAACGTCCAACAAGTACAATGCTATCTGGGTTGTGGTCGATCGATTAACAAAAATGGCGCATTTCATCCCTTGTCAGAACACCATTACTGCCGAGCAATTAGCGCATCTCTTTATTCATGAGATCTTCCGCCTACATGGTCTACCAGATGAGATCGTGTCGGACCGCGGCTCGATTTTCACCTCCAACTTTTGGAGATCAATTCTAGGGTTGCTTCGGATCAAGCCATGCATGTCTACGGCTTTTCATCCTCAGAGTGACGGGCAGACCGAACGCACGAATGCGATCTTAGAACAATATTTGCGAGCATACATAAACTACCAACAAGATGACTGGTCGGAATTTATATCGTTAGCCGAGTTTAGCTACAACAACTCGCAGCAGAGCTCAACACATCACTCGCCCTTCGAAGCCAATACCGGTTACCATCCTCGTTTCACCACTGCACCTGCTCCTGCGAATTCTAGTCTCTCTCAATCATCGGAAGACCTTATCCATGCACTGAAAGAGCTCCACGAAGCGTTGCGTTCCGAAGTCAAGCTAGCACAAAGGGCGCAAGAGGCATCCTATAACGCGGGGCGTCGTCGCACCCCTGACCACAAGGTCGGCGACTACGTGTACCTATCGAGTCGCCACGTCCGCACAGCTCGACCATCACCAAAGTTAGAGCACAAATACTTAGGCCCATTCAAGATCACTGCTCGTATTGGTTCACACGCATACCGCCTCCAACTACCAGACTCCATGCGCATTCACCCGGTCTTCCACGTCAGCCTGTTGTCACCTCGCGATGACCCAGCATTACCAGACATTCCAGGCCGCGCCCAATCTGAACCACCTCCAATCGAAGTTCACGGCGAAGAACATTACGAGGTTGAGCGTGTACTGGATAGCCGCATATATCGACACAAACTGCAGTATCTTGTAAAATGGAAAGGCTACGAAAACCCAACAGACAATACGTGGGAACCAGCTGAAAATCTCTGGAATGCCACCGAGGCAGTCCGTGACTTCCATCTACGTCACCCTACCAAACCGAGAAAAGATTTGCGCATCCAACCTCATAGGTCACAACCTCATTGCCGTTCTCGTAGGACTCGAACCTAGAAGGGGAGCTACTGTCATGACCAAAATGGGAATCAATTTAGGGTCGTGCATTTTCATTCATGCAATGGACACCCTTATTGCATTAATTTGCTTCCCGGCCAATTCCCCAATCTATCGACTGCATTTATTAATTTCTAGTCAGTATCTCAACGTCCAAGGCTATCTGAACTCTGGTCCTACACATCATAGCTAGTATAAATACTGCCATAGTTTGTCTTAATAAATATCATCAGATTATTGTCACAATTACCAAGAACCACTTACTTGTCCTGGTCAAGCCTCGGTCCTGTCCTGTAAACCGTTTCTGCTCTTATCCCGAAGTATCTGATCCGTCTTGTCGCGCCTCTCCGGCTCTGCCTTGTTCCTGGTAGTTATCCGACTTGGTGTATGCTGCGTAATGGAAAGTACCTAACACCCACCCCGTTAGTCTAGCTCTTGACTTGCTTCCTGTTCTCTTCTTGTCTTGTTTTGATCTGCCATCTGGCATACTTCTGCATTACCACTATCTTCCAGTTCCTAGCCTGTGCCTTCCTCTTGTCCTCTCCTCTGTCCGAGCGCAAGTCCTGTTACCTAGACTACCCCCAGTTATATTCTGACAATGATATAGGTACGTAGCACGAGTTTCTCCGCTTTGAGGACGACGGTTCGATTGCCTCGAGGTGATCTACGTGTGCTCCTTGGTGTAAAGGGGTGCTTTCACAGGTTTCCGTAATTCCGGGAGATATATTTCCGAGCCAATAAGGTATGAGCGATTTTCCAAAAAAAAGATGCAATGGGCATGTTATGATCGAGTTGCGTTCCATTCTGTCATGGACGCGCCCAACCAAGGCATTAGGCCGTCACAAAATAAACGAAGGTTCAAGCCCAGAAATCCAGGCCGACGGGAAAACCTTCGATCCGAAACCGAAACCTTGGATACTGCGCGAATATTCTAGATGTCGGCTGCAGAACAACCACCTCATACACCAATTGGTATCCATAGCAGTTCTATCAGAAGTACTTTCCATGAAACACTGCTTCCAGCACATTCCATAGTGAAATATATAAATATAAGTCATATAGAATCAATAAAGGGCATCACTTGGTCAAGCAAGAAGAAGTCTGCAAAGTCGATATCAAGGCTGCTTTGAGTACTCCGGGACATTACCATTTTTAGACGGAATTGTACAAGACAACCAGGAACCAAAAGGCCAGGACCTGACAATTCCAAGGATCAGCCTGCTTGGCTCAGTTGGCAGAGCGTCTGCCTAGTAAGCAGAAGGTCACTGGTTCGATTCCAGTAGTAGGCAGTTCAATTTTTTGTGTATATCGTGACAAAAAACTTGTCGTTGCCTAGGTCACTGAGATCCTTTTGTATACTGGGGACAACGACGGGTTCACACAGAACACTGAATGTCACTAAGACAATTCGGAAGATTGTGATTGATCAGATAGATACCCTTTATTCTATATTACTGGCTTGATATTTATACTTTGTTATACATTGGATATCCATAGAGGTTATGTAAAAGATATGTCACGCCATGTAGAGCTTGTCAGGCCATAGCGACATAATGTATGCATATGCATACATTGCGGGCATGTGCCTGAGGGCGATGGGATCAGGTCATTCTAGCGTGCATATGCATGATGCAAAATCTTTACATTCATGCCACGTGACTCGCACGATCAGTCCACGACAAACTTGTCGTCTTTCTTTTTGAATCCACACAGGATGATAGACGACGTCCGAGAGGAAGATAGTAAGACCACAAAGGAGTATAACCACGAAGGAATGAGACCACACAGGAATATAATGAGGATGGCGAGGATCTTCGATACCCTTTATTCTATGTGATGGTCCACTATTTATACTGTTGGACGTGGCTAAGTATATCAAGATGGCTAAGTAATATGGATGTGGCGAAGTAATGATGGAGGGCGCAGCGTAAAAGAGATAAGGTGATACAATCATACAAAAGACAATACTGATCAAGAAGATCTGATATGTTGCTACGACAAACTCATCGGCCAATCTGTCGGCTATACTTCTTTATCCTTTTGACGAGATCACATGATCCTGATCCATGATTCCACGACATTCCTTTTCCCTTGATATTCCTTTACACATCACACACAGTCACAGATTTCCGTCACTTTCCCTTTCCCTTCGTTTCTAGAATCTACATCTCCCGCACATATATAAGAACATGTTGTATTCTAAAATAAACCATCATCTTCATCTCTCGCAAAAAGTCATCTTCTATCATTTGTTGTCCTGGCCTTGCTTTGCAGCCATTCTTGATTACGACAAATCTGTCGCAGCCTCAACCCGGTAATCCCTTTTGCCGAACTGCGCCTCACCTTACTTACCCATGTCGTGCGTATATTTTGGCGGTTACACCGTAGCCAATAGCAACGACCAAGCGTAACCGTAGAAGAAGAAGGGTAACGGATAGATGATGTTTATTGCATGGCACTACTTGGATATTTATACTGGTTTTGCTATCTAATAATAATCATGGAGAAGTGGGATAAAAGGGAAATAGAAGTGGGCTGTGCGTCTGATGCGAGGACTACTGTCATTCGTGCACTTGTCGAAGAGGACTATGAAAAGCGATAAAAATAGAGAGCACCGTTGATTGGTCAAGCAATCTGTGCTACGACAATATCCCCTCCCCAGAATGTTGTTCGTCCTCGAACAAGAGAGACAGTTGGGAGCGAGCGACAGCGGCGGCTTCGAGGTGGCGGCGTTCGGCTGCGCGAGCGGCAGTTGGGTCGTACCATGGATCGGTTGGTGTGGCGTTGTTTCGTACAAAAATGGGGCGGAGGCGGTCAGTGTGCACCCAAGAATTGTAGATTTTGCCGTTCATGTCCTGAAGCTGGTAGATGTCAGTGCTAGGGTTGGTCTTAATTACGCGGAATGGACCTTTCCAGTTGTACTCCAGTCCAAACTTGTTCTCGTGGCGCATAAGGACATGGTCCCCCACAGAAAAAACTTGCGGTGTTAAAGCAGCATCCCATCGGGCCTTATCTTGTGCAGCACTGGCGCGGACACGCGTCTCGGCAGAAATTCGTTCATCGCGTAACTTGAGAAGGGCTTGCACGCGAGACTTTGATGCATCCGCTTCGGTAAGTTCGGTGGCTTCCTTGTCGATGGTGATATATGGTCGAAGGTGATCACCTGGAAGCTTTGGTTCTTGGCCATAGACGAGGAAGAATGGGCTGAATCCGGTGGTGCGATGTCTGCGTACTCGGCATGCGAAAAGAGCGGGTTCCACAAAGTCGTCCCATCGGTGAATCCGGCCATTTACATACTTACGTATCATTTGTTTGAGAATGCCGTTCGTACGTTCGGCCTTTCCGTTTGTGCGTGGGTGAAAAGCTGAAGTGAAAACATGTCGTAGCTTGATGCGGCCAGTATAGCTGGCAAGGACGTTTGACATAAAGTTTGCACCTCGGTCAGTAACGATCTCGTCTGGGCAGCCAAAACGTAGGACAATTTCTTCGTATAAGAACTTAGCAATGGCCTCTCCGGTGGCGTCAGGTACAGAGCGAGCAATGGGCCAATTTGTTGCAGAGTCTACCGCGACTAAGATCCATCGATTTCCATTTGCTGTTGTAGGCAATTCGCCGATAAAGTCGAGGTGCCAGCGGGAAAATGCAGGTGGGACGTCCAAGGGCTTCATTGGTGCATGGTGAATATGTCTGTCGGCATTTGCAGCCAGCTGGCATTGTGTACAGGTAGCGAGCCAATTAGCGATGTCAGTCCTCATATCCGGCCACCACCATCGTTTCCGCATCAAATCGTATACATTTGCATTCCCGGAGTGACCGAATGATTCGTGGAATTGTTGGACAAGGTCGGCGCGTCGAGCGAAAAGCACATAGCGGATTTCTTGGGTTTCTTTACCTGTCTTGACTTTGCGATAGACGCAATTGTCCCGTACAACAAAACGATCTCTATGCTTGCTCAAAAGGTCGCGATATGATGCAGGCCAGTCGTTTTCTGGCTTGGCATAAAATTTGGGCCAGTCGGTTTCTTGCAAGGATCGTACAGCATAAAGATAGTCAGGTTCCATCGTGTCCTTAGCTGGGGTGGATGAAATCCCATCGCGGCGAGATAGCAGGTCAGGAACTCGATTTTCTGCGCCAGGCTTGTACCGGATATCAGGGTCATACAACTCAATCTCGGCGATCCACCGGGTTAAACGGGGAGGTCGGTTATTTTGTTCGCGAAAGTACTTGAGCGGTAGATGGTCTGAATAAACAGTGAACCGCCGGCCATCGATGAAGCATCGCCACGTGCGCAAGGCGTGCAGGATACCCAGCAACTCTCTTTCTTGAGCAGGGTAGTTGCGTTCTGCCTCCGATAACTTTTTGGACTCAAATGCAACGGGGTGCATTAGCCCATCCTCCCCTTCTTGAAGCAAGACGGCGCCCACGCCGTAATCAGAAGCATCCGTTTCAATGACAAAAGGCAGGTCCGGGTTGGGAGGAAGCAGGATCGGAGCAGCAATCATGCGGGCTTTGATTTCGTCGAAAGCAGACTGACACTCGGGCGTCCAATCAATGGCTCGTTGTTTTACTCCCATTCCTTTTGTCAGGTCCGTCAACGGTGCAGCAATGGCAGCAAAGTCTCGAATAAAACGCCGGTAATACGAACCCAGACCAACGAATTGCCGTACCTCTTGAACATTCTTTGGGATTGGCCAGTCTTGAATGGCCTTGACCTTAGAGTTTGACGGAAGAATACCACGCGCCGTAACATGGTATCCAACGAACTCAAGCTCAGTCTTGTTGAACTCGCATTTCTTGATGTTGGCAACGAGTTTTGCAGATCGAAGACGGTCCAAGATTTGTCGGACATGCGTACGGTGTTCTTCGGCAGTCTTGCTGTAGATGAGAATGTCGTCGAGGTAAACCAAGGCAAAGTCGTCCAAATATTCGCCCAGCACCGCATTCATCAGATTTTGAAACGTCGGTGGCGCATTCGTCAAGCCAAAGGGCAGCACCAAAAATTCGTATGAACCGTATCGTGTATTGAACGCGGTTTTAGGGACATCGTCGTCGTGGATCCTAACTTGATGATAACCGCTTTTTAAGTCGATGCTCGAAAAGAATTTAGCACCACCTAGGCGTTCGAGGCACTCATCAATGCGAGGAAGAGGATGGTTGTTACGGCGTGTAACGCGGTTGATGGCGCGGTAATCAACACACATGCGCATCTCGCCGTTCTTCTTTCGCACAAATAACACAGGCGCACCCCAAGGCGACGACGTTGGTCGGATTAGGCCTAGGTCTAAGAGCTCTTTAAGCTGCTTGCGCAGCTCGTCCAGCTCACGTGGGCTCATCTTGAATGGTGGTCGGCTAATGGGTGCAGAATCTCCTGTATCGATTACATGGGTTACCTCTCGCCTTGGTGGCAGTCCGGGGAGCTTGTCCTGAAAGACATCTGGATATTCAGTCAGCATACTTTTGAAATGCTCATCCATCACCCCGTCAGATTCGACGTCCTCCAGACGAATATAGCACAGGAATATCGACTGGAGACGTTTATCACGCTCAAAGCGCTCAAGTTGGCGATTCGATATTAAGAAAGCAAGGTCAGGAATCTGGCGATTGAACTTGGGTCGTAGGATATGAGTTGCGTCCCCGTGAGTAATGCGCCATTGGTCGAGGTCCCAATCCGGCATAGGCTTCATCCGTTTGATCCAGTCGCGGCCAAGGATCAAATCGAATTTCGTGTCAAGGACATATGCGGGAACAGGATGGGTGAGCCCGTCAATACAGACATTGAGAATGACTTTCTCCGTGATACTAAGTGTGTGACCTCCAGCAGTTTCAACTGAGCGCCCCATGACACGTGTTCGAGGTAAGCCAGGTATCAGCCTGGGCGATACATAGGTGGCTGATGCACCACTATCGAGTAATGCTTCGCATTGGCGTTCGTTGCAGGTTATATCTTCATCCCCGTATCCATCTCCACTCGTAGTTTCGAATTGCGTGGCAACGCTGATGGGCATTGAAACAAGGAGGGAGGAATGGTTCACACGACGTTAGCCGAGAGTCTTTCTCTTTTGCACAGAAATCAGGTGCAGCTGTCGTGGTACAGACCAGAGTACCACGAAGGCCAGGGACTCTGGTGGTACACACCCATATTATATATTGTCGGTTCGGGTCGTACTGAGCGGCACTCCGCCGCATAATATATCTAGACGGTCAGTTGCGTGTGCGTTGTCACTACTTTGAGTTTCATTCGTTCGTATAGAAGGCTCTGCATTGTGTGTCTTATTTTGGCGGGCTAATT